TCAAAAAAATTACTCTTTTGAAATGGAATCACTTCTGTATTTTAATATTTATTTCTATTGCTTCCTTGCCTGATAAAATTGAATTTGACATAGTTATAAAGTTTATGTGCAGTTTCCACTTCCCACACCGACCAGTTTGGCCTCTCTGCTGTGCTGAAAGTGCTTTTAACCACGGAGAACTCCACAGGTGGGTCAGGCTGCAGGGTCAGTGCCTTGTCCTTGAAGGTGGAAGCTCTTGACTCACTGAAAGCTGCACAAAGGAGGCTGAATAAAAACCTTTGAGATGTGACACTACCAGTGCAGACCTGGGGTTGCCTCAGTGAAAACACTTCATGAACTAAACTTCCACGGTGGTTTTGTGTTTAACAATCTGGGTGATTGCTTGCACCAGGGTTTGCTGTGAGCGCTGATGGGGCAGTGGGTTCACCTGCTGGTTTTTTGTGATTGTGATGCTGGCCAAAGCTGTGAAGGGCTCTGACCCCTCACCAGCGAGGCAGGAGGAGGAGAAGAGCAGCAAAGGGGAGAAGGAACAGAGACATTCCTGTGCCTGCAGACTCCTTCCAAGGTACAGTTCGTTTAATTGTGTATTTCTTCTGGATGGGGAATTTCTGAGTGACTGAGGAGGGGGAGCTGTGCAGGGCCAGCAGTTCTCTGAGGACACGAGCCTTTCTGGAAGTGTGGTTGGGGGATTTTGGGGGGTTTCTATGTGGGCAGAGCAAAGCCCCTCGCTGGGTTATGAGCAGAAAAGGGTTGTGTTTGTGAGCAGCAGGGAAGGGCTCCCTGAGTGCTGTGCCAGGGCTCATTCCCTGTGTCCCCACTCTCACCCAGGGGGACCAGTTGGCAGGAGCCCAGTCCAGCAGGGCCCCCAAAATCCCCTGGGTGCCCTGTGGTGGGGCAGGAGGTCTGTGGCCCCCGATAGCCCTGGGGTGCTTGGCACAGGGCAGGGCTGTGCCTGCCCGGGGCTGATAAGTGTTGTGGCTGCAGCCTGAGGATGTGTGTGAGGGAGATACTGCCACGGGGTGTTTGGGGCCAGTTTTGGGTACAGGGAACACGGGGCTCACAGCAGGGCCCTGGGGCTGCAGCAGGAGGAGGGGAAGGGAGTGATTTCAGGGCAGGCGGGGAGCCCTGCGGTGTGCGGGAAGGAGCCGGCTTTTCTGGGGTTCAGCTCCAAGCTGGTGCTCCACGTTTCCAATTTCCAGTCCCCTGGTGTGCACGTTGCAGTGCTTGGCAAAGGCTGGCCCGTGCCAAAAGTGCTGCTTTCGGAGGAGCAGCAGAGGAACATCCTGTCCTGCGTCCCATCCCGCAGCGAGCCTGGCTTCTGGTGCCGGGATGTGGAGGGCACCTTGCTCTGCTCCCCCCTCCTCTCTGTGCGAACCAGAACCTGCTTTCACTCCCGGTTCTCCAGGAGGGGATGGATGCAGTGTGGGAATGTGGAAGGATAGCAGTTGCTGTGCCAGCTCCTGCCTGTGGATGCAGCATCTGGAGCAGGAGTGGCCTCGTGGTGTCCTCAAGTCACCGCTGTGCTCCGGCCGGGACACAGAGCCATGGGGTGGTCACTGCTGGCAAAGGGAGGGAGGCTGAGGACCTGTGAGGGGTAGGGTTTGGGTGGCTTTGGCCAAGGGCTGTGCCTGGAGCAGATAAAAGGCTCCAGCAGCAGGTTTGTCTGAGTGGTGGTGTCAGGATTGGACCTTTTCACGTCTCTTCATCTGTCACTGCGTTATTTAGTGATTAAATTACGGTTTATACCCACTGAGGGAAACCTTCCCTCTCGTCAGGGAATGAGTGGGTTAGGACAGGGTGAGGGGAGCTGACCCTGTTCCCTCAATCCCAGGGTGGTGGCTGGGAGGGTGCTCAGCAGGATTTAGGAAGGTTCTCGGCAGGATTTTAGGAGGGTGCTCAGTTTAGGCAGGATCACCCCCCTGTTACTGGGCAGCAGTGGGAATGGAAAGCCCCCCTGGCAGTGCTGGTGCTGCCCTGTTCCCCCCGTGCCTGTCTCCTGCCATCCTCCAACCCCAGGTGTGATCACAAAAACGGCCTTTGCTCTTCACTGGTGATTTTGGGTCCTTGTCTCATTTTGCAACATCTGAAAAAAAAAAAAAAAACCCACATCACAGCAAAAGGCAAAAGCCTTGAAGAGCTAAAAGTGCCTAATTATCATAACTTCCCGTAGCACATGGACAAACTGGTGGAGATTAAAGGGAATCAGAGGGGCAGGACTGGGGGTACCAGCCCTGCTGGGAGAGCAGGTTGCTGAAGCAGGAGCACGGGGTGATGCTCAGCACCCTGGTTTGCCCTCTCTCAGGCTCTCTGGGGCTGGTCCTGGCTGCTCCTGTGCCAGGCCTGAGCGTGGCAAGCGCCCAGCAGCGGATGAAGCAGAGAAAGACGTTCACGGCGTTAATGAAAGCTCTGACAAAGGGAAGCGAAGGGAACTATTGTCTCCTTGGCCTTCTCCTCGCAGTGTCTGCGTGTAATAAGTCTTTTGGTTATGCTTGTGGCTTCTGTGACAAAGCTGTGATTTAGGGGCTGTCTGTGCCGAGGCAGAGCTGCCTCGCACGGGCCAAAGTGCTGGTGAGTAATATTTTACCACAAATTGTTGTAACTGGAGCTCGTCGACTGCAGTGATGGGGGGGGGGAGATGGCATTTGATTTATTAGATGACTTAACTGCAATTTGCAGAGTGAGCTTTGTGCTGGTGGGGCCACAGATTTGCAGATCCTGCAAGTAAAAGTCCGCGGGGGTGAAGCTGGGGAGGGGGAAAGTGCGTGGTTTGCTGCCGGGATCGGTGGGAAGCACAGCGGCTTTGGGAACCAGCAGCAGCTTGGAATGCCCAGGAGCCTTTCCTCTGTGTGGCTGGTGCAGTGTCCCAGTGGGAACCAGGGGTCATGGAATCACAGAACACAATCACTGAGGTTGGAAAAGACCTCCAAGGTCATCAAGTCTCTGACCAAACACCACCACGTCAATTAAACCACAGCACTGAGTGCCATGTCCGAGTCATTTCTTGGACACCTCTGGGGATGGTGACTCCCCCACCTCCCTGGGCAGCCCCTTCCAATGCCTGACCACCCTTTCCATGAAGAAATTCTTCCTGAAGTTCTTCCTGAAGGGTCCAGTCTTTTGGTGTGGACATCACATATAAAACAATCCCTCTGGCCAGCAGCACTTGCTTCCCCCAGCCCTCAAACCAAGCCAGAAGTTAAAGGGATGCTTTCCTAAAACCAAAGGCTTTCCTAAACCCAAGCTGTGAAGCATCTTTAGGATGAGTTTTGAAGAGGAAGGAAGGACAGGGTGGCTGCTGCTGGGCTTGCATCACTGTGAGAATTCAGGTCATGTTTACTACAGGCAGCTGGAACACGATGATCTCAGATGGTAACAAGTAACATCTGAAGGGACACGTTAAAACATTCAGGCTGTTTTGTAAGCACCTACTTTGCTTTCTTTCCAGAACCAGTTTAGCTATTTTTAAAGATTCATTTGTCCCCTTTAAGAACCTGGTGTCAACTTAGCTAAAATAAGTGCAAAAAGAACAAGAGGCTCTGCTTCCTTTTAATATCAGATGGAAAAAATGATTTTGTCTTTTGGTTGCTTTTGGGGTTTGTTTTGTAGATTTTTTTTTTTTTTAAAGACCCCAAAGCAACAAACAACCCCCCACTTTCCAGCTTCCTTTCTGCTTTAGAAAGGCCAGATGCCTACGATCTGAGGGCTTCTGGCCTTCCCCAAGCTGACCTTGTGTAATTTCCTCTATTTACATTTGGCTGGCACTGGCCTCATTGACTGCAAGAGTTTATACAACCCTTTTGGAGAGGAATAGCAAGGACTGCTGAAGCACGTCCTGCCTCACATTCTCCTCTTATTTACCGTGGTACTAAGTAGACATGCAGTGCTACTGAATAAATATGTTCTTATCCTATTTTGTTCTGGCCTTAATGCCTTTGTGCCAGGATAACAGAGAAGGTCATGGGCAATTAATTTAAACCAGGTGGGGAAAAAAAGACTCTGAACTCTTTCTGTGCAGGCAGAGACATCTGATAGTGCCACAGTTAAACGTGCTTTTATTTATGTGAACTGTGTGCAGCCTTTGCAGCGCCTTTTTTGGGGGGGTTGTTTTTGAGGAAACTGTTGCAAATAATGTTTGTTCACTGCTGCAGTTGAGTCAGAGTCAAATTTGGACAGATTAGCTTCCCGGGACTTTGGTGTTTGTGCTCGAGCCTGCCCTGCTTGCATGCAGGGATCACCTCTGTTCTAGGACTTTTGCAACCAGAACGAAAAACAGATTGTACTTAATACACATCAGCGGCTGTGATGATTCCTCCTGCAAGCAGTTCATTTGCAAATCTAATGCATGCAGTGATGCTTGGGATGTGGCTGCTACTCCTTGGAGGGTTTGGTGATGCTGGGAGTCGCAGGGTAAGTGGGGAAGGGCCTCTCTCTCTGGTGTAAGAAGAAATTAGGTTTGAGGGAGGGAAAATTGCTCCTTAGTGCGACTGTTCTGCTATTTAGTGGCTTTTTTTTTTTTTTTTAAGTAGATTTTCTGATACACAAGTTGCTCAGCCTGGCATGGGGAAAGTATTCAGCAATTCAGAGATGATAAAATAATTACATGATTGCGTGCTTCTTGAAGGCACGAGGGTAATGTTCCTAAGTGCCACCAATTCAGGCACCACTCAGGAGAAGAAAAGGCTCCCTCTAATCAGGGCTCCCCGGGTAAGAGTTTATAAGAGCACCCTTGAGGTCAGCACTAATCCACAGCTTCCAGGCAGCTCATTTGAAGAAGCTGGATTGCCCAATGTGCAGGGAAAGCACAGCCACTTCAGGCTGGAGAAGTGGCATGTGACAGCCAGGCTGTGAGAGCACTTTGGGAGGGGGTGAAACGGCCACATCCCGCAAGGAACCCCGCGGGGCGAAGGCTTGGGACATCCCAGGGATGGAGAAGAGGGAGAGGAGGAAAGTTTCTTCACTGTGTTTATTATTTAAAAAAAGAAAAGAAGGGGAAAAAAAAAAAAAAGAAAAGAAAAAGTTTATTGCAAATCTCAGTGTTTATAGAGTATTTCCAGAGTCCACTGGGTACGTTACAAACAAATCAGTAAATCCTGCTTGTGGGTCTGCTGTGCCCGCACACACACATACTCATCACTCGCTCCCCTGCTCGTGCTGCTACACAGACAGGAACAGAAACGGACTGTGAGGTCAGTGACAAACATATTATTTGATCTGTATTGGAAATTGTTGTAAAAAAAAAAAAAAAAAAAAAAAGGCAAAGCGAAAAACCCAAACCTAAGTTACAGTAGAACCTCGCAAATCTGCAGAACAGGGAGCTTCCACACACACGCAAAACCTGGAGGCCTTGTTTCCACTTCCAAGCAGTTGTAATAGCAAAGTGCTGTAGTGAGGTCTCGTGTCACGAAAGACTTCAATAACCTTACAATGACGGGCTACAGAACGTTTATCAAAACGCTTGAAGTATCATAAATTAAACAATAAATAAAAAGCACATCTCGATGCGACGTGGTTATTTGTTCATTAATCACTGATTCACACAACTCTTCAGTTCTCTGTAAGGGGTCTTCCAGTCCTGGGTGCAACGCAGCGAGGTTCTGCTGGCCGTGATAAAGTGCTGAGGCAGAGGAAGGACGCGAGACCGCGGGTCTCGGGCAGTGAGGATGAATTGCTCCAGCCACTTTGCAAGAGTGCCTGTTTCTCTTTTTTTTTTTTTTTCTTTTTGTTTTTTTTTTTTGGACATCTAAGACAGGAAAAAAAAAAAACAAATCAAGCACCTTCCCAAAAAGAGGTTGTTCTTTTCTTTTTTTTTTCCTTTTTTTTTTTTTTTTACACAGATTGTCCCACATTTCTTATGGCTGGTAAAACACAGACAGGTCAGCGTAGCAGTTAATGGATGATGCCACTTCCACTTAAAATACACAGAAACGGTGGTTTGGGTTTCCATCCAAACCGAAACAGACTTGTTTGATTTGTCCCCCTGAGTTGCCTAGAGGCGAGAAGATGCATATAGGTGGGGTAAGCAAGCTCGTGTCACCGTGAGCAGGAATCTCTCCTGTTAAGACTAAATGAACAGCTCGCCCCTTTGTCTTTTGTCGTTCCCTTCGCACCATCCACGTGCACAGGCTCCACTTCGCTTCTCACTGATGGCAGCAGCAAAAAAAACAAAACAAAACCAAAAAAGCCTCTTGCTGCCTTTAGGGGAGCGGGGAGAGCTGGGGAGGGGGTGCAGCTCAGCCCAGCCTCCCCGTGACCCCACAGATGTGGGGGGTCCCACATTCCATCAGGGAGGTTTCCTGGTGCACCTGTGAGCGAAGGTTTTGGGTACGTTAAGACACGCTGGGCCAAATCCTGCTGAGCCTTTTTCCGTGGAAAGAGATGCTGGATCTGTAGTTCATTATTTTTTTTTTTTTTCCTTTTTAAATAACTGGGTTACTTAAGACTTACCTATTAAAAACAGCTACACTTTATGCTGTAAGAGTAATTTTTCCCAACAATTTCACAAGCAATACAAGATAGGCATTGAAGAGAATGATGTAAAGACAGCTTTCCGTTATGCAGAAGATCATTTTTCCTCTCCAGTTATTTAAGCTAACCTCCCTTAACAATCTCAGAATAAATTAATAAATACTAGTTAAATTAGAAACAGTACATCAGATCTGGCTATCAAGAGAAAACAGTTCTATGGATCCCAATCAGGAGAAGAAAAATGATCTCAGGAAATACGTGCAGTAAAAAACTGGCCATAAAGACACACAGAGCCTTTGATTTCCCAGCATTTGTGACATTCAAGTTAAGATCATTAGCAATGGTTTCTAAGTGTCAGCTATCTAGCCTAGCCTCCTCCTCAAAGCTAAAACATGAGTCTGTATCCCTCCAGAAGATTCAGTTGGCTATTGGTGGTGTATGAAGTGCTTGTCTCCAGTTTGTATCATCAGTTTCTTGTCTGTGTGGAATTTGTGGTAGGGAATGGGTGACAGTCAGAGGCTGAGCTGCTTCTGCTGTTGCTGTTGTCAGTATTTATGGGATCAGTTGAACCTTTACCTATGCTTGTTATCAGGAAAGCAAGAGTGTGCATCACATCTTCATGCTAGACAGGAGTTATTTTTACGTGGCTATCCGTATTTTCTATGGAGCTTTCCATTGTTGGTTAAAAAAGTTCTGTCTAATATTTAAAAAAAAAAAAAAAAAAATTCGTTGGTAGCAACTGTTCACATTTAAAATTTCACATTCCCTTTAGAATGTAGTTTTAAAACGTGGAGCAGAGCTGACATTTCCCCCAGCCTTACGCCGAGTACATTAGATGGAGAAAGGAACAGGGTTGTTGTTGTTTTTTTTTTTTATACCACGCTGTCAGAGCCTTTTCCTGAATTTTCTGCTTTTCCAATATCCATGTCTATAAAGTCATCTGGTAATTCTGGAGGGGGCCCTGGTGGGCTCTCCTCCACCTGCTGCTGCTGCTGCTGCTGCTGGTAGTGGTGGCACAGCCCAGTCTTGCATGGCCTCACCAGGGCCAGAAACACGGCCCCCAGGACCATGCCAGCAGCACAGGAGTAGAAGGCTGAGCTGTAGTTCTTTGTCGTATCCACTAAGACACCTACAAAAAAACAATTACAGCAGTTAGTCCCAGCCAGCTCCCCCTCTCCCCTGCCCAGCCATCCTTCCTGCAGATTTTTAATCCTGGTGCCTCTGCATCGTTTTATCTGCAGGCAGAACTCGATGATAAACAGATGCCACTTTAAAAAAGTAAACCCGTTGTGTTCAGGGGTACGTGGTGTCATCTGCAGGCAAGTCAGAAGCCTCTGGGCACCGCAGGGACTCTGAGCCCGAGATGCATCAAGCATCTGTTTGTTCTGATAGAGACTTCCCCTCTCTGCAGTGTGTGGCACAGACACAGGCACAGCGAGAGGGATTCGCCTCTGCTGGTCGCTAGAGCCTGAAGTGATGCCAGGTTTGGGTTTCTAACAGGATCAGGGTAGCACTGCAGTATTTCCCTTCCCTCTGAGGTTCCTCAGTGGAGACTGCCTCATCCGTGGGACTCTGCAGAGCTGCATTGCAGCGGTCTTCTGGCTCCCAGAATTTCCTAATACTCATTACGGGGCTTTTAGGATAGTGCTGTGATTAGCGCTGCCAGAACCCTTTCCAGAGAGAGATCAGCACCAACAGCTGTCAAACATTTCACAAAACAAATTAACATGAAAGTTTGAGAGTTACCTGCGATGGGTGGTCCAGCCAACCCAGCTAAGCTCTGAATGAAGACGTAGACTCCAGCTGCAGAAGACATCTTTTCAATGCCAACCACATCGTCCTCTGCCAGGAGGGGAATATGTGTGCCCGCCACCGTGCCGAGCATGAACCCAAAATAAATGCTACATGTCATCAAGCCCCAGAACTCGGAGGCAAAAGGGAAGGCAAACAGTGCTACAGCCAGCAGGATGACACAGATGAGTTCGATGTAGATCTTGCGGATGGGCTTCTTGTTGAGCACCCAGCCAGCAAAGATCCTTCCAAAGACCTCGGCGATGGCCATGGCCGACAGGATGTACGCGGAGTGGTCCTTGCCGATGCCCAGGCTGAGACTCAGGGGGATGATGTAGAGGGAGGGAGCGAAGAAGCCCAGGGTTGCAAACAGGCCAAAGAATGCATAACAGATAAAGCTATAGTCTCTCATCACAGAGAAGTCCAGTAGTTTGGTTTTTGGTTCTGGAGGGGTGCTGTAATTTTCAACGGGGATCTGTCCGTGTTGCTTTGGTTCTTCACTTTTCGGCTCTGCTTTGGTTTTTCCAGGCACATTGCTGGGTGAGGTAGTTATATCGACTCCTGAGTCTATGGACTCTATTGAGGTGCATGTTTGCTCGTTTTCAAGCATGTACTTTGTCTCCGTGGACTCTTCTGGAGGCTGTGCTTTCACTTCTTCTTGCTCTTTGATGATGATGGGTCGCAGCAGCGATCCGCAGACGGTGATGCCAAGCTGCAGCACCCCGACAGAAAGCAGGCTGTACCTCCAGCCAATCTGCTCCTTCAGAGCTGTGATTGCTGAGGGAAGAGGGCAGAGGAAGAAGAAAGTGTAACTAGGAAAGCCTGCAGTTACACCAAGCAGTTGAATTCACAGGGGGGGAATTCACTCGAGTTTTACCACTGGAGGGTTCCAGGAGCCTTGGCTCTTGCAAAGGCTGAGCAGGGGGTCCCTCCTGCTCAGGGGTCTGGCACCCACCTTCCTGCCCTCAGCTGCAGCAGACAAAAGCTAGAAGCTGTGTTTACCACCTGGCTAGCAGAAGCCACGCTCTAGGCAGCCCCTTCTGAATTTGGGGGTGAAGGGGGTGTTATTTTTAGTGAAGGAGCGCAAACCCAACACTCGAGTTTCCTCTCGCCGCTGACCCCACCCTGAAACCAGCTACCAGAGGAAGTCCCTCAGCCCTGCTCAAAGGTGCACGTCACTGCTGAATTACCAGCCCTCATTTGCAACCAAAGCAGCTTTGCACTGGGGATTAGCTGGAAGCACACATGCACAGCAGGACCACCTGAACAGCCAAGGACAGGGGGTGACAGGGACGTGCTGCCTGGGGACAGGTCCCCAAAAGGCTGGAGCGGCTCTGCTGCCCGTGCTTAAGCACAAGCCCACTAACCTTTAGGAGCAGTTATGTGTGTACTGTGTGTGTTTTAAATAGCTGAAGTTTCTCTGTCTTATTTTTAGCCTGCCAGATCTATATAGGGAGCCCATCGGGCTGCGTATCAGCCAGGCATGTCCTGCCCTGGCAGATCCCGCCGGGGACGGCTCGGGCAGCGTTAGACCCGGCCCGAGGATTATTTGTCACCCTGCCTGCAGGGCACGAGTGCCATGGGCACATGAGCAACAACCTGTGGGCTTTAGCAGGTTGAGGGGAGCAGTGCTGAGCTTTAGGCACGCACGTGTGAACTCCCAGCACGCGGGCACCGTACCTGGTGCGAAGGAGAAGACGGCGAAACATTCCCCTGTAGATGCCACTGCTGTGACCAGCGAGCGCCTTTTGTCAAAATACTGTGATAAAATGGTGACAGTCGGGAGGAAGGAGAGGCAGTATCCGAGGCCTGTGAATAAATGCCAAAAATTGCCATAACAACAAGTAAAGGAGGGGGAAACACCGATGCAAGAACACGTTAAGTCGGCTTTCCCGGTGGTGATTTACACAGTATCGTTTCGGCCAACTCAGCAAGTCACCCTGGAAGAAAATCATTGGGGAAACCAGAATGTTATTTTTTTTGTAAATTGGAGGGGGGAGGAAGAAAAACAAAAGAGAAAAGTAAAAAACCAAGAGACCCAGCCTCCCAAACCTGCCAGATAATGCCTTCTGCTCCAAAGCAGCCAGCGGGGTCCACTTTCAGGACCTCATCTGCCTAAAGAATTTGAGCCTGTAGCAACTGCTCCCCTAAGCAAGGCCTGGGAGCAGGACACCAAGGCCAGGCTGGAGAGGGGGAAGAAGTATCAGCAAAAGGAAAAAAAAGAGACAGAAGCAGAAGTTAAGACGATTTGACCCCGTGAGCAGTTTGGTCTCCCCAGCGATCCCAGTCCATGAGAAGAGCCCAGTACGGCTGCACGAGCACAGGACTAAGTCCCAGGGTGAGAGAGAACAGAAAGCCAAGCCTGGAGCTCAGCTTAACCCCCCTCCCAGCAGGGCGAGGTCAGCTCAGGAGGGGCAGCAGCGTTAAGCAATCCCTGTGTGATGGGGCTGGGGTGAAACCCCCGTGGCTCGCGGGAAGCTGCGGGAGAGCAGGGGGAGCGTTTGACAGGTACAGGGGAGGATGACTCACCGGAGATGATGCCGATGGTGACATACATGTCCACGACGGAGCGGGCGAAGGCGGCGATGACCATCCCGGTGCTGATGAGCAGCCCCCCGGCCATCACCACCAAGCGGTGGCCGAAGCGGTTGCTGAGCACCGTCGACAGAGGAGCTGGGGAGGGAGAGAGCCCTGGTCAACACCCAACTCAGCAGCCTCACCAGCCACCATCTCCTCCAGAGGCTCTTCTCATACTCCTCCTGCCCAGGTCCTCCTGCTGTGCCACCTCCCCGCACAGAGCAGTGTCCCCCCGGGGCCATCCTTGGAGCGCTGCACAGCTCGTGGCACTGAGGACGTGCTAAAAAATCATCACAAGAGACTTAAAGACGGGTGCGTGGGAGCCTGGGGCAAACCTGCACCCACATCCCCAGACACCAGCGGGATTTCAGCAAGGCTCCAGCCACTTCTAATCCTTTTCACTGCAGAGTTTGGTTTCAAAGCTCTGGCTTTTGCCTCTTGCTGGTGAGACCTGAACAGCCGGGCCAAGGCCAGTGACATGGACCGTGTACCTACACCGCGCAAGGACACGAGCCAGGGCTCAAAGGGTGAGACAGACATTTCTTAGCATTTCATGCAGCCTCTGAGCTTTATGGCTGTTATTTAATTTATAGTGGAGCCATTAGAGACACAAAAGTCACAGGTGCCAGGTCCTTGTTTGCTGAGTCAGCAGTACGGCTGCCCCTTGCACCCGCGCCGAGCGCCTGCTCCTCTTACCTGTGAAGGTCTGCACAAACACACATATGGATATTATCCATGATATCCTGCTGTTGGTTTCGTCAAAGCTTTCCATCAGGTCATTGAAGAAGACTCCAAATGATTTTATGATGCCGTATGTCAGGGCTTCCACAACAAAGAATGCAAAAGCAACTGTCCAGCCCCATCCTCCGTCAGGCACTTTAGTATAAACGTTTGCAGAGGTGCACGGCATTTTTACAGCTTTGACCGTCATTTTGGATCTGGAAAAGAGGGGACAGGGAGCCAAGCGTGAGTTTAGGCTGAATTTTGCTAGAAGGGGCACAGTCTAGGAGCTGTAGCATTGCTGAAGGCACCAGGAGCCAGTCCCTGCGCTGCCGAGGGATTAAATAGAGGAGTTGGGCTGATGTTTCTGCCTCTGCCACCCCACGGGCTCCTTCCTGCTGGTGCCTGGTGAGCGCAGGACCAGAAACTCTCAGCTCAGCGCCCAGGCAGGCTGTTTCCAGCAGCCAAGCCCGGGAGCTGTCATCTGTCTGTCGGTGTGAGGGGGTGGGTTCGTGAAAGATCCACCGCAGAACCCAGCGCGGGCTGGTGGAGCTGCAGGAACCCCCTCGGGGCACCCGCCCTCCCCGCTGCACCCCCTGCCTGCCCGGTGACACCTCGGTGACACCCCTTTGCCGCAGGATCAGTCAGTGACAGAACCCACTGTCACATGCTGTGGTGTCCAGAATCCCACAGCCGCTGGCTCCGGGATGACAGGAACTCCTGGGGAGCTTGTCTGCCCCCAGAGTGGCAGCTCAGGGCTGCCCACACCTCAAAACAGGGGGTGGGGACAACCCCCCGCTGCCACCAGCTCCTCTGCAGCCCTTGGGACCACTTACACCCCCCAGGGCAGGGGGGGCTGGAGGGGATCACCCCATATGACATGGGGGGGCTCTTCAGCCCTTCTCCGTGTCACCAGGGGCTGTGGGTGTGCAGGGGCAGCTTCTGTCCCACGCGGAGCTCCCTGTGGAACTCCCGAGCTGCCACAACCCTGCGGGGGGACAGTGCCAGGGTCAGTGCCACGCCTGCACGGTGCGGGGGGACAGCGCCAGGGTCACAGTCCTGGGGTCACTGCTACACCTGCGCAGGGACGGGGACAGCGCCGGGGTCACCGTGCTGGGGGTCGCTGCCACAGCCGTGCGGGGGGTGCCGGTGTCACCGTGTCGCACACCTGCGCGGGTGGGTGGGGGGCACACGGCAGTGCCGGGGTCACGCCCCAGCGCTGGCTCCCAGCAGCCACCCCAGGGCAGGGAGGGATGGGATGGGATGGGATGGGATGGGTGGCCGCGGATGTCCCGCCCGGGGGCTGCCCCGGGCACCACGCGGGTCGCCGGCTCTTTGCGCGCTCTCCCCCCCACCCCCAGCACCGCCGGCCCCGGCAGCCACCGGGCATTTCCCTCCTCCATTTTCTGCTCAGATCTCCTCGGCACCGCGTTCTCGGCGCACGGAGCCCCGAGCGGCTCCGGCCACGCCGCCCCCAGCCCCGGGCAACTTCTCTCGGCGGAGCAGGCGAGTGCGAGACACCGGCGCCCCCCGGGAGCTGGGCGGGGGTGGGAGCCCACGCGAGGGGTCCCCGAGCGGGGCAGGGGGTGGTGCCCGCAGCCCGCAGACCCCCTGTGCGGTGCTGCATGGCGGGTGCGCGGTTCCCGTGGGATCCCTTCTCCCAGGGATGCAGCGAGGCGTGGGCTCCTGCATCCCTGCGGTGCCGCTCTGCTGCAGCCCCGCGCCGGGGGCGAGGGGGCACGGGTGGGACCCCCCCGGCGGCCGCCCGAAGTTTTGTGGGAAGTGCCTGGAGACCCCCGAGAAGGGGGACGGGGCTGCCGCGAATTCCTGTGTCACCGCACGAGGAATTGGGGGAGAGTAGGTTTAGGAAGAAGCACGCTTAGGGACAGAAAGGAGATGAGATAAAAAAAAAAAAAAGGAAAGGAAGAAAAAACAACCCCGAAACCGCAGACCTGGGGCGTGCGTTTTGTACGTTTAAAGATTAAAAGAAATGGCGATGGGGGGGTTGAGAAAAAAAGCTGAAAATTAAGAAGCCGGAGCGCGCAGGGGCCCGGCGTGGCCCCCCCTTCCCTGCATCACTTTCCCAACATTTCAGCCCTGATTCCTGCATCGCCGGGGCCGCGGGCTAAAAATACGGGGATGCGGGCGAGGGGAAGAGGGGGAAAAAAAAATAATAACGTTTAAAAGAGGCCAAAAATGAGAAAGGGGAGAAAAAAAAAAAAAAAAAAAAAGGAGAGAGAGATAGAAACAAAGCCCTCCCCCACCCCGCTCCCCCGGGAGGGAGGGAGCCCCACTCACCCGGTGCTGCGGCGGGGTCAGGGGCTGCCCATGGCCCGGGGAGGGCGAGCGGGCGGGCGACCCTCGGCGAGGAGGCGGCCCCCGCTGCCCCGCCGGCCGCTGCTGCTCCCGCTGCCCGCGGCGGCGGCTGCTGCTGCTGCTCGGTGCTCGCTCGCAGCCCTTATATACCGGCTGGAGCCGGTCTCCGCCGGCGGCTCCGCAGCGCCCATGTGCGCCGCGCCGGGCCCGGCTCGCCCCAGCGGCGGCACCGCGTGTGCGGGGAGGGGCGGTGCAGGCGGCGGGAGCGGCTCCCCCCACCCCGCCCCGCTCCTCCAGGGACCCCGGGAGAGAGAAGAGAGAGGGAGAGGCCCCCCCGCCAGCCCCGCACCTGCCGCAGGGACCCGCGCCCCGCGGGGAGCAGGTGCCCGAGCGAGTCCCCCCGCAGCCCCGCACGCTGGAGCATCCCCGGGGATGGGGATGCAGGATGTGCAAGTGCCCCCTCCCCTGTGCGCTTGAGGGTGCCAGAGTGCCCCTGTCTCCTTTGGGTGCAGTGCATGATGCGTTTTTTAGGGAAATGTGTCCCTTAGTTGTGTTTTTAGGGGAAACGTGTCCCTTAGTTGTGTTTTTAGGGGAAACGTCTCCCTTAGTTGTGTTTTCAGGGGAAACGTCTCCCTTCGTTGCGTTTTTAGGAAAAAAAAAACCATCTCCCTGGGTTGAATCTTTTAGTGGAAACCATCTCCCTTAGTTGTACTTTTAGGGGAAAGCATCTCCCTTGGCTGAATTTTTAGGGGAAACCACTCGCCTTTAATTGTATTTTTTAGGGAAAAGCATGTTCTTTGGTTGCGTTTTTGAGGGAGAACATCTCCCTGGGTTGGATTTTTAGGGGAAACCATCTTCCTTGCTTGTACTTCTAGGAGAAAACATCTCCCTGGGTTGAATTTTTAGGTGATCCTGGTTCACACCCCTGGAAACAGAGTCCAGGTTAAAGTGTTCCTTCAGTGCAAGGGCTGCGCTGTTTGGTTTGGCCGGAGTCCCTTCTCCTGCTTTTCCCTTCCTTTGTCACAGTGGGATGGCTGGTGGGGTGGCACAGCAAAGGGCAGTGGGGGCAAAATTCTGCAGGTCACCCAAAATGAGGCAGATCAGCTGCTGCTTTCGTTTGGGAACTTTGGGAAAGCTGCTGCTGGTTTCTCATGGCAGTGCTGGTTCAAGAGCCACTGCCTCCAGCAAGTGCTGGTGCTCACAGGGATGTTCCAGCAGCTTCACTCCTCTCAGTCCCTAAACTGAAATCCAAATGCTCGACCATGGGACTGTGCCCTGTGTGTCCTTGGGAATCGTCCTCTCCCACAGGAAAACCCCTTCTTCCAAGGAAACCCAAGGTTTCCTCTGAGGTGGTTGCCCTTTATCCATATCTTGCCTTTCAGGGGCACAGATAAAGGGTGACCACCCCTCTGGCCTCGTAGAGCTGATATTCCAGTCATACAGCCTTTTCCTTGGAAATGGGTCACCCTCCCCATGCTGAAATTCTTCCTGGCATCAGCAGTGCAAGTGGTTGTGGGACAACAAAAGAGGTTTGTGCCTCCAGGGGAGAAATAAGAATGCAAATATCTTTGGCATGAAAAACCCAAAGCGATTTACTCCTTGGTATTTCTTGTCAGTCCTTTGCATCTGTCTCTGCCTCACCTTCTCATTCCTTTCCTTTGGGCCTTCCAAGAGCAATAAGGCTTCAGGGAGCCATGGGGGCTGGAGGGGCCCTGTGGGGGGAATGGGGATGGTGGCTGCAGACTCTCCAACCAAGGGCTTCCCAGCCCTGCTGTAAAATCCTTTTCCCCCAAGTTTTTTGCCTGTTTTAGAGGGATTTCCCTGCTGCTTGGCTTGGCTGTGTCTTGTCAGGGCTCTTTGCCCCAGCACATCCCTTGTGGGTCCGTCCCATACCTGTCAGCGCTTGCAGCAGGACGAGCTTCTCCATCATCCCCCGGGGAACTTTTGCAGCCCGGGTGCGTGGCCGGTGTTGGAGAGCTCTGTAATCCCCAGGGAAGCAGAGCAAGCCTCCTGTCGGTGGGCATAAATCAGCCAGGAGCTGCAAAGCAGGGCGGGCTGTGGAGGGCAGGGGAGGGAAGGGGAGCGCGGGCCCCTGGGCTGCGCCGCCGGATGGCTCCGGGACTTCCAGTTCATTTATTCTGCCGGGGTTTGCCCGGCCCTGCTCGGCATGTGAAATGTTTTCTCTGAAAGACCCAGCAGCGAGATGGGTGAAAAACATTCTCCTGTCCCAGGAGCTGGCAGAAATCCTGGTAAATCTGCAGAAGTATGTTTTTGTCGGTGCTGCTTATTCTGTTAGAGGGAACTAGTATAAACCATTCCAGCAGAAAACCTCTTCCTGGAATAAAGTCCTGACTCTGTTCAGAGCATTGTCAGGACGGTTGTACCGGGAATGGAGCTTAGCTGGTAAACATGTTGGGACTGAGGAGCCCCAACGAGGCAGGCACAGAGCTCCTTTAGCCTCTGCCCCATGGATAAACCCCTCACGAGGCACCTGCTGCCCTTCTCTGTGCGTGAATCAAACATAAAATCTGTGCAAGTTTAGTTTGCAAAGCAAACATGGATTTTTTTTTTTTGTTTTCTCCCCTTTGAAAGCCTATCTGTCCCACTGTCCATCCCCTCCAGGCTGTGGTTGGGCATTGTCAGCAGGGTCATGGTCACTGCCAGGAGCCACACCATGGGGTCATGTCCTCATCCTGCATCACTCTGCAGCCATGGGATCAGTGCACAGCCTGAGCCACCACTTCTGCTCTCCTGCCTCAGTTTCCCTGACCCTGGCTGGCACAGGGGGCGATGCTGGGAGCCCCTGCAGTGGTCCTGGATAACAGCGGGTGCCCGCTCCGTCTTGAATTTGTCATCCCCTGCTGTGTCCTTATCTCTCTGCTCTTTGCAGCCAGGATGGAGATGCCTGCTGGGACTTCCAGCAGGAGAACAGGACCATCAGTGTGGGTTTGGGCAGGAGATCAGAGCTGTGACACCCCGGGTGGGGTGCAAGCCCCGGGTGCCAGCGGGGGGGACAGCACAGCTGGACGTGCTTCAAAGGGCATCAGGTTTTTCTGGGCTCCGGCCGCTGCTTTGCTCTCCAGGCAGGCGTGAAAATGTGAAAGAATGTGAAAAATGTGAAAATGATCTTGCTGGCCCCAAGATTTGTAAACTTTCTGGTTAATGTGTAATAAATACATGACAGATAGTGCCAGCGCCGGGCGGCGGCACCACCAGCGGTGACATCCCGGGGAGACATCTCCCCTCCTGTGCCCCGGGGCCAACCCCAGGGTGTCCTGATTGGAGAGGGTTTGGGGCTTTTCCAAACTGGTTTGTCTGGTTTTGGACTTATCCCGAGTGAGTTTCTGTGAACCGCCTTGCCTGGCTTGCAAAATGCTCGTTACTTGTTTGTTTAATCCTGCCCTGGGACAAGGTGCGTCCCAGGTGCGCCCTGTCCACTCGGAGCCATGCCCAGCACGGTGCTAATGCCGCTTATCCCGGGGCCTTGGATCCTTGGAGTGATTCCTCCCAGGTGGCTCATCCAGCTGTAACCACCTGGGCAGTGTTTCCTGCTTGGCATGAGGTGAGGCGCCGCCACAGCCGCGCTCACGCCCGTAGTCGGCCTGGGGGAATCTCTTCTGAGTCATTATTTTTTTTGCAAAAATAGCTAAAAGTTGGTCCTTCGACCTTGAGAGGGTCTGGCTGTAGTGAAGCTGGAGGGGGGCAGAGATGATGCAGGTCCTGGTGTGGCAGTGAACAGGCACCAGGGCTGATCCCAGGGATAACATGTCCAGATACCTAATCCTGGTTCTTGGAGCATGAGGGACAAGCTGTGGGCTTGCAGGAGGGTGCAGAACAGGAGCTGGGCTCATGGGCTTTGTTGTGGCAGGGCTGGGCAGCCTCTCCCGTGGCTCAGCCCCCCAACCCACCTCATCCCACCCCCATTAGCTGATGTACCGAGAGCCTCCAGGCTTCATAAATTAACACTGTGAGCTATGAATTATGAATGGAGTCACATCCCTGATCACTTCAGTGCTACACTGACAACCCTGGAGCTGCTGATCCGAGAGACAGCCCAAAGCTTTTAAAGATGTGAACAGCAAAACCTGGGAATGATTTGCTTTGCAAGCTACAAACCCACCCTATGGATGAGGCTCATCCTATTCCCTCTCCTGCCTCCTCTTGTTGCCTTCTCCTGTTTTGTTTCCCAGTATTGCCTTCTCTACTCACCCTTATGGTTTGTCTTAATGGATGTTGTCCTGCTTGGCTGTGTTGACCATCCCATGGGAGCTGCATCCTTCATGGCATGTTCTTTTCCTAAGGTTGCTGGTGCCAACTGGGGACAGCTGCTGCAGTGTTGGCCCTAGCTGGGTCCTGGTTGTCCCCAACCCAGGCACAGGTCCCCACACCATTCCCATGGGTTGGTGCAGAGCTCCTGGCACAGGACTCAGTGGGGTTTTGGCAAATCTCTGCAACTTCATCTCCCTTTGGCCATAACTTTGTGCTCAGGGGGTGGTGTTCCACAGCTCCACCTCTGCCATCGGTCTTTGGGGGGTTTATCCTCGAACCTCTCCACCACTGGAGGCCAAATCCTGCCCTAAACAGCCAGATGTGCTTAATCCTGTAAGCCTGGGTGTCCCTGGGGTTTGTTGCCTCTGGGTTTGTCTGGATTCCTGCCTTCAGGAGTGGCTCCCTCTGGCAGCTGGGCTGCACTGCCTGCTCGGGTGCACTGAAGGCAGTGGGGCAGCAGGAGTAGAACTAAATTTGTAAAATGAGCTCTAGACACTTGTCAGTTGTCACAAATGAAGGCAGTGCCCTGCATGTCCCCCCTCTGTGGTGCTGTGCACCCTGCAGTGCTCAGGGGACAGCCCTCGGCAGGGCGGGAGGGAGCAGCGCTGCTCCCGGGGACGGCGGAGCACGGGAAACCATCCCAGCCCCAGCGATGGATGTGGGAAAGGGGCCCTCGTTATTCACAGCCCTTTTCAGCTGAGCCATCCTGAACCAGGCAGCAAAAAAATACAACTTCAAAGGCAAAGCCTCGGCGTGTGGAGAAGGCGTCCTGCCCCGGGCCGGGGTGCAGGAGCACTCGGCGTGTCCTGACTGTGGCTTGTGTCTCTTGCAGGGAATGCTGTAACCGT